GTAGCCCCCTACTGGGGATCGAGCCCACAACCTGGGCATGTGCCCTGACCAGGAATCGAACCATGATCTCTTGGATTATAGGTTGATGCTCAACTGCTGACCCACGCCGGCTGGGCTGGTTCTACATTTTAGTTACTTGACTGTAATGGCTGTCATAGCTGGGAAAGGTACTCCACAAAGAATGTCAACCCAGATGGGAAAAGTTCTTTACTAGTTGCCTGGCTGTTCTCACCGCTCACAGTATTCTATTCAGTCCCATGAAGATGCCAACTCCTCCATCTGACATAGCCCCTCCCCCTCTCCTTTGCTTTCTCTCCCAGATGTGCATGTGCGGTTGTGTATACTATTACGTTTAACTCCACTGTGCTCTACTTGGTTTGCTCCAATATCTGTCCTCCTCAGGAGACTGTGTGCATCCTTGCCCAAGGCAGAATAGAAGTTCATGGATTCCGTTAAAGAAAGGAAGGGAAACCCACTGATTTTGCCTGAGCTTTGAAGTTTCCAGCATGTCTCACTGTCTGTTTTTCTGTCTTAAAATTGGTCTCTTTCTGGACTTAGCTGTTATCCATATGTCATTGGAGCCTGGAATTTCAAAGATTAGATTTGGATTGGACACCAGCTCATGTCCCATATCTAGGTCAGCAACTTCTCCCCTCCAGAGAGTGAGTCTATAAGTCTCACCATTCAAAAATTGGTGAGCAGTTTCTGCTGTGTGCTGCTTCTGAGACAAGGCTGGAAGTCAGGCAGGTAGATGGAGCGTGCATGGGGAGCTAAGCAACTTCAGATAGTCCTGGAGGCATGGAGAGCAAGGAGGGCAGTCTGCTGACTTGAACCCTCAGTCTCATCTTCTCTCAGGTTCTTTACCAGCAGCAGGAAGCTCTGCTGAGTGTAGACAAGGTGATGAGACTTAATCTTATGCCTTACCCATAAAATGTTTAAGCAGCAGAAAACAAATGAAGGGAGGCTGTATTTTCCTTATATTGCAAAGTTAAGACCTTTAATGAATAGTCAAAACACCTCAATGCATCATGAGGACTAAAGGGCAACATAAAACTTAACCAGAAATCTCTCTGATGTCATGAAGAGCATGGACTGATAGCTGCTTAACCAGTTAACCAGTGTGTACACAGCCCTCTTCATTTGGATGGAAGGAGCTGCCTCCTTTGTTGTATTTGGGTGATGATGAATTTAACTGTTTCCTCCTGATCTAAAAATGCACACAGGCGATGAAAAGCATGGTCTCCTATTCTGTTTGATAGCCAGGATGTGCATGGCCTTTGTGTCTTGAAGTTACTTGTTAAAATGTACTCTCCCTTCCAAAATGGTCCTTGGGACTTTCTCATTAACCTCACTTTGAAGAATGTGATTTCTTCATGTCAGAAACACTCAAGAACATTTCTTCTGCCTAATATCGTTTAAGCGTTTGTTGAGTCTAGGAACAAAGCCTGGCTGTGCTTGAGAGGAAAGAATTACAATTTAGTAAAGTATATACTGTGTTTAGAAGTGGTCTTTTTTTTTTTTTTAATTTATTTTTATTAATTTCCGAGAGAGGAAGGGAGAGGGAGAGAGAGAGAGAAACATCAGTGATATGAGAGTCAGCATTGATCGGCATCCTCCTGCATGCCCCCTTCTGGGAATGGAGCCTGCAACCCAGGCATGTGCCCTGACCTGGAATAAACCTCTATCTCCTGGATCTTAGGTCGCTGCTCAACCGCTGAGCCATACCCAGCCAGGCAAGAGGGTACATTTTAAAAAAGAAAGCTCCGCATGTTAAATTTACTCAGCCTGCTGTATGCTTACCTTGTTTTAATTGTGGGCCTCCATGTGTTAACTAGCTAGACTCTTCAAAAGACATTTTAGCCTGGCCAGCTTGGCCCAGCAGTTGAGCATCGACCCTATGATCCAGGAGATTGTGGTTCGATTCCTGTTCAGGGCACATACCCGGGTTGTGGGTTCAGTCTCCAGTGGGGGAGCGTGCAGAAGGCAGTCAATCAATGACTCTCTCATCATTGATGTTTCTATTTCTCTCTCTCCCCCTCTCCCTTCCTCTCTATGAAATCAATAAAGATTGTTGTTTGTTTTTTTAAACACATTTTAGTTTTATTCTCTGGGACCCCTGGGCCCTTCAGTGAGAAGTACCATGGCTGAAAATCCACACATGGACCTAAAGGAGAACCACTGTGATTTTAGAAATGAATGGTAGCTTCACAGTGACCGCTTACAACTGACTCAGCTTGGCCAGGTCATCTTGCTGTTGTGGACCTGTGCCTCACCTGGAAAATGGGTTCTTCCCTTACGAAGACGGTCCCATGAATTAATAACTGCATCTCCAGGAATGGCACAAAGTACTATCTAAATGCAGTGCATTGTTTTCAAGCTGCTATTCCTGGAGTGTGGCTAGGTTAGTATTGTTTTGAAGGTTAGGATCCAGATACCAGCTCATCTATTCTCCAGCTGTTGTTTATCCAGTTTCCCAGAATAGTCAGGCACAAGGTTTTATAAAAATGGGGTTTGTTCCTGGCTGGTGTGGCTCAGTTGGTTGAGCATCGTCCTGTGCACAAAGAGGTCACTGGTTCAATTCCCTGTCAGGGCACATACCTAGGTTGTGGGTTAGATCCCTGGTTGGGGTTCATATGGAAGACAACTGACCAATGTTTCTCTTTAACATCTATGTTTCTCTCTCTCATCCTCTCCCTTCCTCTCTCTCTCTAAAATCAATAAAGAAATAAAAAATTTTAAAAAACATTTTTTAAAAATGGGTTTTACGCTGCTTTTGGTGTGTAATAATTAAGTCACTACTGATTTAGCCTCTGTTTACTGACAGGGATGTAGTTAGTTAGTGAACTGACAGAGAACATCGTTCATATTGGAAGCAACAGCATTTAATATAGAATTTCTGATCAGCTCATCTCCACCCCTACCCCACCTCATTACATTGATTGAACCTTTTTACAACACCCACCAAAGGGTTCAAGTTCTCAGCTACCCAAGTAGTCCATTACATTTTTCTCTCTTTAAATTTTGTTTTGTCTTTTAATTAGATAGTGCATTTATATAGTATAAGATTCAAAAGGCCTACAGCCTGGCCGGGCGTGGCTCAGCGGTTGAGCGTCGACCTAGGGTCCAGGCGATTGGGGTTCAATTCCTGGTCAGGGCACATGCCCGGGTTGTGGGCTTGATCAGTGACTCTCTCATCATTGATGTTTCTGTCTCTCTCCCTCTCCTTTCCTCTCTCTGAAATCAATAAACATATATTTAAAAAACAAACAAAAGGCCTACAGTAGTAAGAAGTCTCACCCCTGCCTTCCAGCCACTCAGGACAATCAATACTACCAATTTCTTGGGTATCCTTTCAAGTTGGTTTTATATATCACTATCTTTTCCCACCACCTTTTTTATGTAGAAATGGTAGCATCTATATTGTACATACTATTCTATGCCTTTTTAGAATCATCTTAGCGGTAGATATTAGAAAATTTTCAATAATAAGTGGAGAATACAGTGATCAATGTTTTTAGAATTGATGTGAAGATATAATCGAGTAACTCTTCTGGTGATCTCTAGCCCATCTGCTCCCAAATGCTTAAACATTTACTCCCAACTACCTGCCTGACATCTCTGCTGGGTGTCCCACAGGTTCCTGTGCCATCACCACCCAGATCAAATTCTGGATCTTAAAGCCTGCCCTCCCCCTACCCAATCCAGTCCTTTCCCACTGTTCCCAAGCTCCATCTGTGTTGCTGTTACCTTGTGTTGCACAAACCAGAAACCAGGGTGTCATCCTTGACACTTCCCTCTCCTTACTCCCAAAGCCAGGCCATCACCACACCAGCAAGTATGGCTTCCTAAATTTTTCTCAAGTCACTCAACTTTCCTTCATGCCCTCACCTAACTCCCTATGTCTGGGTGGGCCTCCTTGATCTCTCTCCTGGATGACTTTAAATAGCTTCCTAACTGTCCTTCACACTTTCACTTTCTTCCTGTCAACCTGTTCTTCACGAAGAATGATCTAAAATCACAAAGCTAATGATACTACTTCCATGCTTGACACCTTTGGATGCCTTCCTAGTGCTCTTAGGATAAAAGTCAAACTGATCATCACACCCTACAAGGCCCCTGTGGGCCTCACCAGGCCCACTGTCTGCAGTTCAGCTACAGAAACCAGACTTGCCCTGCTTCACCTCCCAGCTCCTCTTACTTCCTTTGCCCGAATGCTGTTCTTTCGCTCCCTTTGACTCACCTTTCAGATCTGTCTCCAACTCCTCAAGCCTTCACTGTCTCCCTAGACTAGAACGGTCCCCAGTTAAAGCTGATCGTATCTTTTCCTTCACTGTATTTACTGGGGTTGTAATTTCTACTTATGGAAATTAAATTGGGTTAATTTTTAAAAAATTATTATTGATGTAACAATTTATAAACTACAAAGGATCCTAGAATAAAAAGTAGTAATTTTTAAAAATTCATGTTTATAAATGAAGTTAAACTCTGGAGAATGAATCCGTGTTTATGAGGGAGGAGTACCTCTGTTAAGGACCTCTAGTTATCCTGTGTAGATCATTCTTCAGTTCAACAAGAGTTCTCTGTGCCAGACAACACTGGAACACTGGGCATAGGAATTGCAGAAATGTATAAGACCCTGACAGACCATGCGCTCAGGCAGCTCGCATGCAGTATTTTATTTTTAAAAACTCAAAATCTCATCATAAGTTTGTCCTTTATGGGCGTTTTCCAGGTGGCTCCTGGCATTTTAGAAAGCCTTATACAAATCAGTGTTGGAAGCAATGCATCCTTTTGATCTAAGGAGAGAAAATTTTCTCATGTTTTTGTCTAATGATTCTTTCTCTTATATTGAGATGTCTGTAGAAATATGCCTGCTGAAAGGGAGGGAGAGCTTCTAAAAGAATTCAGGCCAAGTGAAGCTTATTTCCATTCCCTGTTGTTGAACAGAAACTTGCATGGGTTCTATCACCAGCAGCTGTGTGTCTCTGCTTTATCCCCAGGAAACCTGTAGGAAGTGTCAGGGACTCTGGAAAGAGCACAATGGCCTCACCTGTGAAGAGCTGGCTGAAAAAGATGACATCAAGTACCGAACATCTATGTGAGTAACATAATTCAGAGGTGTTTGTTGACTAATTTGCAACACATACACAAACACACATGCATTAAACTGCCTTTTTGGCAAAGAGGGGCAGTGAGTATTGAGGAGAGAACTTGTTCTCAAGCTACCCCAATCTAGACTGACCTCAAGGAAGTGACCTGATCCCTGAGCCTTCATTTCCTCATCTCTGCATCCTCATAGAGCTATTCCCAGGATCAGTGTAACATAGTAAATGCCTGGCATATATGAATTCAATATATGTTGGTTCCTCTTCTTATTGTCTAAATAAGCAAATAACACATTTTAATTAGGTTGCTTTTATCTGTATTTCCTATAGGATACTGGTGGCCTGTGACATTGAGTAGAATCACAACCTCCAGAATGCAAATTAATACAATTAGGAATAAGAGCCATTATTGTGTAGCACTCCTTGTGTGGCTGAACGCTTTATACATATTAATTTATTAAATACATTGACTTAACCAATACAAAAGTTTATTTCTCTCTCATATAATAGTCCACCCTTGCTAGAGGGTGGAGCAGATCTGTCCAATGAGGTCATTCAGAGACACAGGTTCCTTTATGTCATTGCTTCACTGTTACCTAAGGCAGTGTTCTCATCTGCTTAAATGTGACTGGGGTGCAGCCACATTTATACTCCAGCCCATAGGTGAGGAGAGAGAGACAACTTGCCAGCCAGGCAGCTTTTCTTTGATTTTTAAGTTAAAGAATATATATATACACACGCACACATATATATACATATACACACACACACATATATACATATACACATATATGTGTGTGTGTGTATAAATATATACATAAATAAAGTGTGTGTGTGTGTGTGTGTGTGTGTGTGTGTGTGTATCACTTCTGTTCATACCCATTTGTCTAGACTGAGTCACTTGGCCACAGCCTGCTCCAAGGCAGACACTGTATGTAGCCTCTAGCTGGGTGATTTTATGTCCAGCTTAAATCTGAAGGGTAAGGAGCAGGGTTTTTTCTTTTGGCAGGGTGGTAGTGGTGGTGGTGGTGGTGGTGGTGGTTTTTTAATCCTCACCCAAAGGTGTTTTTCAGTGCTTTTCAGAGAGAGTGGAAGGGGGAGAGAGAAACACTGATGTGAGAAAGAGACACTTCTATTGGTTGCTTCCCACACAAGCCCCGGCTGGGGCTGGAGATGGAGCCTGCAACCCAGGTATATGCCCTTGGCCTGAATCGAACCCAGGAGCCTATAGTCCGCAGGCTAACGCTCTAACCATTGAGACAAACCAGCTAGGGCAAGGAGCAGGTTTTGTTACTAAAAATAATGAAGTGGGAAATGCCTATTTAGGGTAGTTAACTGTATCCAAATCTGCACCACAGGTAGATACTATTACCCTCATTTTGCAAATGACAGAACTTAGACACAGAGAGCCCAGGTAACTTATCCATGGTCATGCAATTTGTAAGTGGCATAGNAGAGAGAGCCCAGGTAACTTATCCATGGTCATGCAATTTGTAAGTGGCATAGCAGGGATTTGAAACCTAGGCAAATGGCTTACCTCAGACTTGGTAGGCAGAATAATGGTCCACAAAATGTCCATGCCCTAATCTCCAGAGCCTGTGAACAGTGAATATACTACCTTACATGGCAGAAGGGACTTTCTGGGTGTGATTATACTACCTTACATGGCAGAAGGGACTTTCTGGGACTTTGAGATGGGGAGGTTATTCTGGATTATCCAGCTAAACACAATCTAATCCCATAACTCCTTAAAAGCAGAGAGAGAGCCTTTCTCTGATCAGATGGAGATGCAGTGATGGACAGAGTCAGAGACATGAGAAGGACTCAACCTCTCATTGCTGGCTTTGAAGATAGAGGAAGAAGGCCATGAGCCAAGGAATGCAACAGCCTCTAGAAGCAGGGAACAACCTTCAGTTTCCAGCCACCAAGAAAACAGGGACCTTGACCCTACAGCTTCAAAGAACTGAATTCAGCTGACAGCCCAAATGAGCAGCAAACAGATTCTCTCCTAGATCCTCCAGTAGGTAATGCAGCCTGCTAGCACCTTGATTTTGGACTGACGAGACTTCAGTTGTGCTAGACTTCCAGCCTGCAGAACTGTAAAATCATAAATTCGTATTAGATTAAGCTGATAAATTTGTGGTGATTTGTTACAGCAGCAAAGGAAAACTAACACAGATTTTGGTACCAGAAGTGGAGCACTGCTGTAACAGATGCCTAAAAATGTGGAAGTGGGTTTGGATTTGGGCAATGGGTAGAACCTGGAAGAATTTTGAGAAGCATTACAGCAAAACACCTAGATTGCCTTGAGCAGACCGTTAGGAGAAATATGGACATTAGAAACTCTACAATTAGGGGCTCAGAAGTAAATGAGGAACATTCCAGGCAACACCTAAATTGCCTTAGAGAATACTTAGATGATGATCACCAGACTGACTATTAGTAGAAATATGGGCATTAAAGACAATGCTGGTGAGGACTTAGAAGGAAATGGGAGCATGTTATTGGAAACTGGAGGAAAGGGAATTCTTTTTATATAATGGCAGCAAGCTTAGGTAATTTGTGTCTTGCAAAGTGTTGAAGAGTGAAAAATGCAAATGGAAAGAGATAAATTGAGGGGAGGGCTATAACAGAAAGGGACAGGATGTGATTGTTTCTGAAATTCTCATCCAGATTATAAAAGACCCTAAAATGGATGATTCACTGTCAGGAAAAGCATGCTTTAGAGAAAAAAGCAAGGACTTGTTCAGAATGTCGAGAGTGTTCAGTCATACAGAGGCTCTTTGAAGAGATTGCGGGAGTGACTCACAGATCCTCGCAATCTAACCAGTCTCTAGGAAACTCGGGCATTAGCCCTCAGCCATCCCAGCACAAGTCAAAAATAAAGGTGGGGTTATCTAGGAAATACCTATGAATGAGCTTCATGCCTAATGGAATGGATTCCTGTGACATAAATGGTAGATCCACAAGGTTCTTGAGAATTTTATATCAGCAGAAACACTATCAGCTTGGACTGGAAGAGACAGGGAGTATGAAATGAAGTCTGTCAGACCCCCAAAATTCTACAAGCAGGAAACAGGCTGATTAAAAACTGCTGAGCTGCAAGCATACTCTACCTTTTTTTGAAAAAAAGGAAGATTACTCAGAAAGTGCAGCCATGAACCAGGAGGGCAGAGCCTCAAATCTCAGGATTATTGTCAGGTCTGAAATATAAGGGAGTTTGCTCAGATGAATTTCCAGATTGATTGGGAGTGGTGACTCCTTTTCTCCTTCCATTTCCTCCCTTTTTGAACCAGAATATCTGTAATTTATCCTGTACCTGTCCCATCATTGTATTGTAGGAGCAAGTAATGTTTTTCTTTAGTTTCTCAGGCCTACAAATGGAGAGGAAGTGTGTCTGAGTGAATCATATCCAGAGTCTTACCTGTACTCATTTTAAATGATGAGATTTGGGACTACTGAACTGAGGAGATTTAGATAAGATTTGAGACTTGAAGTTGATGCTGTAATGGATGAGATCTTTAGGGTTCTTGGAATGAAGTGGCTGTAATTTGCGTGTGGGATGGATATGAATCTTTGGAGGCCAGAGGACAGACTGGTAGGCAGAAGAAGGGCCTCCAAAAATGTTCATGCCCTAATCCCCACCACCTGTGAATATTGTCACCTTACATGGCAAAGGGACTTTGCAGATGAAATTAAGGTTATGGTAACAATAGAAAACTAATACAACAACGTACATAGAATCACAAATGCCACTCCAACTAGAAAAGTCTAACATTGCTTCCTCAAATCTAGGCTTACCTTTGTGTCAGCCAGCCTTTATAATTCAGAGTGGCCACCAGCCTGACCAGCGGCATGGCCTTGAAGTGATTAACAGGTCAAAAATTATTCTTTCTTCAAAGTAGTTCTCTTGTCAGGCATGTACTGATTTCAGCAGTTTTGCTATTGCCTAAAACACTGAAACACTTTAAACTTCTCATTTGGACTTGTCTTTTAGCCGATTTATGAGCCAACTCCCAAAAAAATCTGTTCTCATTACTGTGGACATGTCATTTCTGTTTTGAGTTGGGAGCAGGGGAGGATTTCTTTTGTCGCTGTTTGGCCTTTGTTTTTCCCCTAAGGAGGATGTCTTATGTAGTCAGTATGGATTTACTGAGTGCTCACTATGGATAGCCATAGTTAAGAACCTTGAGCAAATTTCTTAATTTTTCTGTGCCTGTTTCCTCATCTATAAAGTACAGAGCATAATCATAATCAACTTATAAGGTTATTATACAGATTACTGTGCCCAGAATGATTTTTGCCTCATGCTCAGGCTTCCGTAAGCAGAAGGCCCTGATTTACAAATGTGATGCAAGAACATAAAAATAACTTATTGCATTCAGGGCCTTTTAGACCTGGTCACATATATTCTACTTGGAGTTGGTCGTCCCACTCTCTGTACTGGTTCTTGATGCCCCAGGGTCAGGCACGTGGACTATTCCAGGGCTCAGTCATGGGCTAGGAGATGTTCTTAGAAGGAAAAGAGCTGGTTACTTTTTGAAGCAGAGCCCCCATTGTTGTCCTGTCAGTTCCTGCTGCTGGCTGCATTTAGTGTCTTGGTCTGCCATAAACCCTTGGAGCACCACTGAGGCCAGGAGCAGCTGGAAAGTCTCGGTCTGGACCCTGTTTAAACCTGGCAACCTTTTATATCAGCAGTAAATGGGCCAGAGCAGCACATCCAAATGTGAAATATGTTGATTCCAAAATCCAGAAAGGCTTCCCACGTGTCTGACTTCTTCCTTCATGGTAGGGGTTACAAGATACAGCAACATGTGCTTAGCTTTGGAAGAACTATCCTAATACACACACCTGACCTCCAGATCACCAGAACTTCATAAAGATTACAGATCTCAATCATTTTGAGGGACTTATCTCTCACCATCTCACAGGCATACACCTTATTAATGTGTCGTAGAGTACCTGCTACTTCTTGTTCACCTGGTTCTATCTGCACATCATTTAAATAGTAGACCAGTGTGTGTTGTCCTCTTGGACGACGAATGACCAACGTCCTTCCCAACTGCTTCTGGTGTTCTCTGCTTATCAGACAGAGAATAAAAGCATTTTCCAGATCAACAGCTGCATCCCAGTTGCCAGAGGCTCTGTTTACTTGCTCTGGTGAGAAACGACATCTGGAACAGCAGCTGCAATTAGAATCAGCATCTAATTAGGCTTCCAGTGATGCACTGGGTCCAGGACCCATTCTCTGTTCAAGCCAGAGAAGTAAAAGGAGATGCGATGGCAATCAACAGCCCTGCAACTTTGAAGTCTTGTTGGTGGCATCAATCTCAAAGATGCTCACAGGAACTTAGTATTTTTATAGTGTGGGGTGCTCTAGAGGCTTCCACTTCCTGTCCCCACCACACAGTGCTTTCTCCATGGAGCAGAAAGCCAAGGAATCCTACCAGTTGTCAAGTGGCAAAAGTAAGAAACAGCAGGGTACACACAGGAAATTCTAGGAGTTTATTGTTGCTGAATCATAAAATAAAGCATAATAAATGATATGAAATGCGTCAGGTCTTCCAACAAAAATGTGTCCAACGATCAAAGCAGCACTACTTACAATAGTCAAAACGTAGAAACAGTCCAAGTGTCTATCAGCTGATGAATTGTAAACAAAGTGCCATATATCCATAGAATGGAATAGTATTTGGCTGTAAAAAGGGAATGAAGATACATGCCGCAGCATGGATGAATCTCGAAAACACGCTAAGTGAAAGAAGCCAGTCACAAAAGGTCACATCTTATATGATTCCATTTATATGAAATGTCCATAGGCATGTGAATAGTTGCCTGTGTACAGAATAGACAGATCCATTAAAGACAGAAAGGGAGATGGGGGGGTGACTATTTAATAGGTACGGAGTTGGATGGTTGCACAACTTAGGCAATATACTAAATGCTCCTGAATTGTGCACTTCAAAATGGTTAAAACAGTAAATTTTATGTGTATTTACCACAATAAAAAAAAACTACATACACACACTCACAAAGGAAAGCCATTTAAGATTTGAATAGTATATGCCACAAGAATGAAGACAGCTCCCAAAGTGGAGTTCCCAGTATATTTAAATAGTGGTGAGAAAAATAATCATGGAATCCTAGGATCTCTGTTGGTTATGTAGAAGAGGGCAGCAAGCCTTCCTGTTTGAACATGAGGTCAGCAGACACAGCTGCAGCTCAGTCCTCTCTTCCTGTTCTGAACAGGAACACATCCTGTGGGGCTGTTTGTTTTCTGCCTAATTTAGAATCTACTTGCCAAATCACCTTCCTCCCAAAAGAATCAACTGATTTCTCCCCTGTTGCAGTTTGCATTTTTATATTACTGGATAGGTGGCCACCGCATCCCATAATAGCAGTCCTTTTTTGGTACAAGGCCTTTCTGGCCCTACCCAGTACTGTTCTTTTGCAAAAGCAAAGAACTTGAATGGATATTGATGCAGTGTTGAATAGCTGTTTGAACACTGTAGCAACCAATGTTGAGTTGCATGGATCTTTACATATTCCTCATCCATTTAGGAGGGCCTTTTCTCCCTTACCACACCCACTATTATTTCACATTGGCAGCTGACAGTGTGGTGGGACAGAGCAAGCAAATGCACCCTCTTTCCAAACCTTCAGGAAGAACTGTGTAACCTTGATTCTTTTTAGTCACTTCTCTCCCACACTACAACCTATTAGCTGCCCAGGAAATAAGTCAGTCAGCCCCAGGCAACCAAAGTACAGTGGCTGAAAGCCACACCTCAGTCTCAAGGGTGCTCTTACACAAAGTCAATGCTGTAGAAGATTGCAATTGTGTTTTGGTCATAGCTTTTCAAAATGGAAGCTTTTTCATCAGAACCTTGTGAGGCTTAACATGGAGCATTGACCAGTGTCCTCACAGTTGCTGAGTAACTGAAATCGTGAACGTGTGTATTATATTAGTTGGCAGTAGTAAACTTTGTCTCCTTGACAATGTTTCCTATTCAGAAAACTTAGAACTCATTTGTTCTGTAACTTGAACTGGATTTAAATTCTTTTCAAGACAGAGTTCTGCCTTCCTTCATTTTGGGTCATTCAAAAATTAAACCTAAATGAATAGCAGCCAATTTCCTAATGCATTTTTCTATTTTTAAAGAACGGTCTGGCTTCTAAGGAGCATACTACCACAGCAATCTTCTAAATATAAGTAATTAAAAACACTTGCCTATCCCTGGCTACTCTTATTTAGCAGAAGAACTTGGAGCAGTGGGAGAAAAAAGGCTGCTTTTTCTCAGCCTGAGGAGTCTGCAGATCAAAACTCATCCCCAGACTGTTACAGTCATTGCCATGCATGGAGCAGTGGCATGAGTCCCAACGTCAGGGCTGTCCACTGTTTGGGTCCTACATACTCTTTCCAGGTCTTGGTAGTAGGCATACCTTTTGACACCTTCCTGTCAAGACCATACTTCTTCATGCCAGCTGGGTATACCAGCACAGCCTCTGCTCTCTACCTTCAAGGAACTCAACTTAGAGGAAGACAGACACAGAAACAATTATTGGCCAAGTAGCAAATGTTATGAACAGAGCACCATGGAAGTGACTTAGTTCAGCAGTGGCAGCTCATGACGAAGAGCCAAGACCTATCATCTTGATCCTAGTCATCTGCACTTCCATATCAGTTAAAGTGCTTCTGGTAACAAGTAGCCTCCCTACCAGCTACCCACTGAGCCATATGTGTACCCATCCCCTTGCTGCCAGGGATTCTGGGAATGTAGGATTCCATTGGCTATTGGATCATTCCCAGCTGTGTCTATCACACCTGCATGCCAAGTATTTAAAAATCCAAGGTGTGAATATAGCTAAGATTTAGGCTTACTGGCTCACCATTATCCAGCTTTGTATGTATAAAACACATTATTTCAGAACACCCTGAGTGTTTCTAAGTGCTCTGTGCCAGGGTACTTTGTATTTTACCTGTAATCCTCAAAACACTGTGAGAAAGTTGGATTTTCCCTATTTAAAAGTGTGGAAACTGAGACTCCAGTGAGCTGAGTAATTTACCCAAGGTTAACAACTGATAAACTGAACCCAGTTCTCAGACTCCAAAACATAGGCTCTTTTCACTCTTTGAATGTCAACAAAAGGAGAGGCAGTCATATGTGGTAAAAAATAAACACTTAATAGCCATTTTTTCTTTCTTCGTCTTCCCTACTATCGCCAACCATGTGTTCTTTTTTCAGTGAAGAGAAAATGACTGCTGCTCGCATTAGAAAGTGCCACAAATGTGGGACCGGCCTCATCAAATCCGAAGGCTGCAACCGCATGTCTTGCCGCTGTGGGGCCCAAATGTGCTACCTCTGTCGAGTATCCATCAATGGGTATGACCATTTCTGCCAGCATCCTCGCTCTCCGGGAGCCCCCTGCCAGGAGTGTTCGAGATGTTCTCTCTGGACCGACCCCACTGTAAGTGAACGCATGATTGCCTGTTGCTTTGCAGGGAAATATCAGTAAGGTGATATAATGAAGCGAGGTTTTATGTATACGTAATGTATTGTGACCCATGAAAACATAGGAAATGCATAGACCAATAACCAGAGATAAAAACTGAGTAAGTCCTCAAAAAGCTAGTCCTCAGAAAACAACATGCCCAGTTTATGAGCAAATTCTTTCAGTCCTTTAGGGAATAAAAAAAAATCTTTTTAAAATATTTCTTTATTGATTTCAGAGAGAGAAAGGGAGAGGGAGGAAGAGGTGGAAACATCAATGATGAGAGAATCATTGATCAGCTGCCTCCTGCACAACCCTGCCAGGGATCGAGCCCGCAATCTGGGCATGTGCCCCAGCCGGGAATCGAACCATGATCTCCTGGATCCTAGGCTGATGCTCAACCGCTGAGCCACGCCTGGCTGGGCAGGAATAAAAATATTTTATGCCATCTGAAATATTTCAGAGCATAGAAAAGAGAGGAAAGTTTTACATATTATTTGCATAAAACCTGCATAATGTTGATACCAAAACGTGATAGAAATAACCCAAAAAAAGAAAATTACAGCCCGGCCAGCATGGCTCAGCAGTTGAGCATTGACCTAGGATCCAAGAGATCACATTTTGATTCCTGGTCAGGGCACATACCCAGGTTGCAGGCTCGATCCCCAGTTGGGGGCGTACAAGAGGCAGCTGATCAATGACTCTCTCATCATTAATGTTTCTCTCTCTCTCCCTCTCCTTTCTTCTCTCTGAAATCAATTAAAAAAATATTTAAAAAAAGAAAAACTACAGATTCATTCTACTTATGACTGTAGGTTTTAAATTCTCTAAATAAAATACCAGCAAATAGAAAACAGCTAGTGAGATTGTTCCAGAAATGTAAGGATGGCTCAATATTAAGACCTCTTAATATAATTCACCATATAATAGCTTAGATGGTAAAAAGATATTGAATAAAAATCAGATATCCAGTCTTAATTTTGAACTTTAAAAAATAGAAGGATTCTTTACTTAATAATATATTTTTATTCACAGTCCATATTTCAAAACAGTCATTATTAGGATGTATTTAAAAATGACATACAGCCCTGGCTGGTTTGGCTCAGTGGTTAGTGTTGGCCCACAGACTGAAGGGTCTTAGGTTCGAGTCTAGTCAAGGGCACTTATCTCGGTTGCAGGCTCAATCCCTGGCCATGTGCAGGAGGCAACCAATTGATGTTTCTCTCCCTCTCTCTCTCTCCCTTCCATTCTCTCTGAAAATCAATGGAAAAAATATCCTCAGGTGAGGACTTAAAAGAAAAAAAGGAATACATAGAAGCATTCCCAAAAAGTCAAATGTAAGATTATCACCACTGTTTTGTTCTGGAACTGCTAGTCAAAACAGTTAGCTAAGAGAATGAAATAAAAGGTACAGATATTGGAGGAGATAATTGCTAATGTTTATTGGGCACCCACGTGTATCAGACACTGTTGTAAGCACTTTGATGTGTAAAAAAAGAAAAGCAGATTCACCATGTTAGACCTGAGAAAAGACAAAATAATCAACTAGAAGGCTATTAGAAGTAGTAGATGGCTAGATACAAAATAAATATACAGAATGCCACTCAGTAGTAATATAAATCATAAAATACCCTAGAAATGAATTTCAATAAGAAATGCGAAGAAAACTATATCAAAGGACATGAAGAGACTTGAACATATAGACAGATGTGCTTTGTTCCTAAATAGTTTTATATATAAAATGTATCAATTCTTAAAATTGTTTTAAATTTGAAACTATCACAGTCCATTGTAAGTTGCTCTATAAGGATAGCAATGTGACATGGAGAAGACTTATTCTACCAAAAGGTGACTGAGCCTAACAGTGAGTACCCTGCCAATTGGGAGCAAATGAAGGTCCTTGAGGAAGGGCACCAGAGCCCATGGGGTACCTAGTGACAGCCAGCACTCCTCAGCTTCCACCTGAGATGAGTGAAGATAACCAAGGTTGTAGAGAAGCATCTTGTCCCTCAAAGGGGAGACTCAGTATTATAGAGAGATTAGTTCTCTCTAAAGTAATCTAGAAGTTGACTGCGATTCACAAAACCGGGCTGTGAGTGGGTCTCAACGGGTGTGGTGGGTGCTGTTGCCGGGCTTATGTAGGAGAGTGACTTGGCCTGATTTACGTTTTCAAAGTCACACTGGCTACCATGTGGATTGAGAAACAAGGGAAAATTGTTGTAACATATATATGATATAGGTTAATTAATATGTTAATGTATAAAAAGTAATGTTACTCAATAAGAAATCAGTAAAAATCCCTATATTAATAGGGATCATTTTGTCTCTTACTATCAGAAACCCCAAAAGTAGCAGTGGCTTGTACAATATAGAGGTTTATTTCTCCCTTATGTATAAGTAATAGTGGTAGACAGCTCAGGGGTAGGATGCTCACATTAGTATAGTATACAGCTATATAAAGCAATGCTATATATCTATGTTTAAGAACTCAGAGAAAAAAAACATGGAAAGATTTACACATAAAATACACACAGCATGCAGCTGGGGTCACAGACCCAAGTTACCATAGGGACAAGTAGTAACATTAATGATTGATGAATATGAAGTAGGCCAGGTCTAGGGCACAGTAGGGTGTGGTAGGGACTGTGGCAAATAGGAGAGGGTGTGGGCCAACTTAAGCGGCTGCTACTCCCCACAGCTTGTTACCAGATGAGATTGTATTCAGTTACCATGGCTTAAGATTTTTCAGAGAGGCTGGAAATCTGTACTTTAATGTGAAATCTCCCAATTTTTATTTTCTATTTTTTATTTTTTTAAATATATCTTTATTGACTTCAGAGAGAGGGAGGGAGAGGGAGAGAGAGAAACATCAATGATGAGAGAGTCATTGATCGGCTGCCTCTTGCACGCCCCGACTGGGGATCGAGCCCGCAACCCGGGCATGTGCCCTGACCGGGAATCGAACCCTGATCGCCTGGATCCTAGGTCGATGCTCAACTGCTGAGTCACGCCTGGCCAGGCAAAATCTCCCAGTTTTTAAAGATTGATTATTAATCCAAGTATCGTTAAAACATGGTTCAGTGAGAGACAACAAGATGGCGGCGTAGGTAACAGTGGTACCCACTGCCTCCCACAACCACATCAAAATTACAACTAAAATACAGAACAACCGTCATTCAGAACCTCCTGAAATCTAGCTGTATAGAAGTCCTACAGCTAGGGAACTGAAGAAGCATTGAGACCAGTAGGAGGAGCGGAGACGCAGAGCAAAATCTGGGCTGAATCTCAGGTACACGGCCAAGGTCCCACACCCAGGTGCTGCAGTTTAAAACCAGGAGAGATAGCTTGGTGGTGGGGGTTTCCCGAAGTGAGGGGTCCCAGCCCCACATCAGGCCCCCCAACCCAGGGAGGTTTCCAGTGTCGGGAAGAGAAGTCCCCACAACTTTGGACTGTAAAAACCAGTGAGGATTGTGGCTGAGTGACACTGAGGCTGCGGGAGTCCCAGGCAGTTCCTCTTAAAGGGCCCACACACAGACTTACTCAGACATGCTCTCTCTGAGCTCCAGTGCTGGGCAGCAGCTTGAAAGGAAACTGGGACATTCAGGGAGGAACTAACTTGCCTGGAATCAGGGAAAGAGCTGGAGGGGCAGCTTTCTCCCAGACAGAAGAGCTGGCAGAGGCCATTGCTCCTTTGATGAGCCCTCCCCCCACAGAGCTCACAGGCAGGCACCATATCTAAATCTCCATCAACCTGACTCACACCTATCACCCACCCTGTTGATTCCTGGAGATCCCACCCCTCCCTACTTGCAAATTCATCCAAGCCATTTCCAGTGGCTTTTCTATGCAAGCGGCCTCTCTAGCCTCATACTTAGGACTTTCCTAAAATCTCTCAAACAAGCAGCAGCTGGCCTCAGCGTGCCCCATACCTCTCAATAAGTGGCCCCAGGCCTGGCACTAGCAGCAGCCTGCATTGGTTCATAGCTTGACCTCTCCTGGATACCTCCAAGACCAGCACAAGTAGCAGCCATCAATGGTTTGCTGTGTAGTTAGGTGGCCCTGGGCAAGGCAACAGGCAGAGGCTGAGTTTGCACCTCCCAGGAGGCCCCAGAGACAGTACCCTGGTGGTCAGCTTCAACCATGCTGAACTCAACCCTTCCACATCCACGAGTGACACATTCAAGGGGTGGACTCAGTGAACACCAAAGCTCCACTGAAGTAAATCCTGCTCCATAGGGGTGTCTCCAGCACAGGAGCTCTTCAGCTGCAGCTGGTCCTCACAGCAGATTGGCCTGGAAATCAGTTCCTCCCAGTGACGCCAGTAGCAACCAAGGCTCAACTATAACAGGACAGTGTACACGACCCACACAGGGGAGCACCTAGAAGACCCAGCTAAGGTGACTGGGGAGGCTGAGCCACTGGGCCCTACAGGACACTTACTACACAAAGCCACTCTACCAATTCCAGGGGACATAGCAGCTCTGTCTAATACATAGAAACAAACACCTGGAAGCAGCCAGAATGTGGAGGCAAAGGAACATGTCACAAAGGAAGGAACAGAAGAAATCTCCAGAAAAAGCACTAAATGAAATGGAGCCAAGCAAGCTACTAGATACAGAGTTCAAAACAATGGTTATAAGGATGCTCAAGGATCTTTGTAAGACTATTAGGGAAACGAGTGAGACCATCAATGACATAATAAAATACCAATCAGAAATGAAGGCTACACGAACTGAAATGAAGAATAATTTACTGGAAATCAACAGTAGAGGACGCTGAGAATCAAATCAACAATTTGGAACGTGAGGAAGCAAAAAACACCCAACCAGAAGAGCAAAGAGAAAAAAGAATCCAGAAATATGAAGATAGTGTAAGAAGTGTCTGGGACAACTTCAAGAGGCCCAACATTCGCATCATGGGGGTGCCAGAAGAAGAAAGAGCAAGAAGTCGAAAACCTATTTGAAAAAATAATGACA